TGTCGGCTAAACAAGTGTTTTGAAGCCGGAATGAAAAAGGTATTAATATTTATATAAATACATTAATTAATCAATTATTTAACTAATTATTTAATTACTAACAAACATTATGGTAGGAATGGATTCTGACTGAAATACAGCTGAAAATAAGAAACAAGAAAATTGCATTAAATCGTATTAAAACAAAACGACCTGGTCATAATAAGAAAATAAAATTACCCGATTTAGCACAGTCTGATTCAAGCTATGACACTTTAACCGGGGACATATCACCACCAGATTCAATAGCCAATAGTCAAATAGTATTATACCAAAGTGAATCAAATAATAATACTACGTCAAATGAATTCACTGATCAAACATATGGTAAAAATAGTGACATTATTACAGAAAGCGACTATAATTGTAACTATAATATACTGCAAAAAGTCTACAACAATAACAAATGTCTAAATGACCTCGAATTCAGTCTAATAAACGAATTACATAGTGCATTAAAACCGGACAAGCCTGACCATGGTCATTATTCTGTCAATACTCAAACGATTTTGACGCCCAATGAACTCAATGACTATATTATCTCTACTTTTGATATTTATGTTGAAAGTATAGTCAAGTTTTTGAAGAAAATTGATGCATTTAAAACCATGTGTACTGTTGATCAATTGTCCATGGTTAAATATGGGGTCTTTGAGTTACAGGCCCTTCGAAGTTCACTGTATTTTAATTACGAAACCAAGTGCTGGGTTTATTCCTGGGTAATTATACTTAACTTGTAAAATTCTAAATAAATAGTATTTTATTTATTTAATACATTTATTAATTACTCTAGCACAAAGACACTCCGATAGTAATTCATTTGGATTATTACAAGTCATTCAAAAGAAATTACCATGGGCTAATAAAAAAGCATTTGTATAATGTTTACAATCAATTACAATGCGATCCTATTATTATTGATTTGGTATTAAAAATATTTTTATCTAAATAATAATTTTGGGCTAATTTTTATTAAATCTATACATAGATGCAAATCATACTACTGTTCAGCGCTGATAAGCCTAATATTATACACAAAGAATCTATTAAGTAAATGATCATGATTTAATTTACCAAAATTACAATATAACTAACCATATATTTTAAATAATTACATAGATTTCAGCAGCAATTATACGTGCATTTATTGCATCGGTATTTACGGGCGAAATACGGGTCCGAAAGCGACGCTCGACTTGTGTTCCGACAAATGGTGTATATCTTGAGAGATGTGAGACATCAGCGAGAAGTGCGGCGATTGAATCAATTGGATGTCATCTCAACCCAGAGTTATGGACCGCTTCTTAAGGAGATTCTCGATATTCCCACCGATTCTGATAATTCTGTTATTATTTATTGACATTAAATAAGTTGTATACTGTATATGAAGTTGTATATAAAATACAACAAACTTTACAATACACATTTAATGCAAAACCTAAAGTACGTTACAGTAGGTTTGCATTAACATGTATTACATGTCCACTTGTATTAACATCTAGGTTATTATTTATATTAGTATATTTAAATTGTGTAATTTTTAAAAATAAATAATTCAATCAAAACTAATCCTCATTTAATCATCTTAAAATGTAAAGTTATAAAGTTGTTTAATTATAATATAATTAGTTATAACATATTGTGCTAAATAAAATATTAAATAAATATAAAAATATAAATATGATAAATTTATAAACTTATCTTAAAATGTATTGTGGTACAATTTCTAATTAAATACAGTATTTATATTATTCAGCTTATATAATAACTAATACAGTGGAAACTCTGTGTTGTGAATAGATCGGGTCCAGGACTTTTGGTTCATAACAAAGAGTTGTTCATAACATGGAGGTTGTTTTAACATTAAGTATATGTGGTGTAGAAGGTTCACAGCATAGAGTTCCCACTGTATAACTAGTTAATTGTTTAAGAATGTTAACTTTAATAGTTGTGATTCATTATGGAATTTGGGTACATATAATACCATGATTAAAAAATAACAAAAAGTATATTATGTATAAATTGCACAATTATTTGAAATTAGATTTAGATTAAATAAAAATATAATACATAACATTTTTAGTACAGTAGGCAATAATAAATGTTATTTTAATTACTAAGATGTACTGTATAATTTTATCAGCAATGCACCTTTCTATGATACCTGTAGATATAATCTATAAACTTTTAAAAACATTACGGTCAAATATTTGCCTAACTATGTTATATAAAAACCATCGCGTGTAATCTCTCTATTCAATACGATGTCAAACAAATTAAAGTTACCTTGTTCGGTTTGCGGTCAAAACTCCTGTGGTATAAACCTGATTATATTATAAACTAACTTAAAAATTTTAATATTTTGCTAATTTTTAGGCAAGAATTTCGATGCAATTACTTGTCATTCTTGTAAAGCCTTTTTTAGGAGAAATGCCTACAGAACTGATGTAAAATATAATTACATTTATTAATAAGTATATAATTAATTAACAATATGTTGTAATATTAATATTTATGTATAGAGACTATTGTGTAAATACGGCGGCAATTGTATAATCAATGTTAAGACTAGAAAGACATGCAAAAAATGTCGGATCAATAAATGTTTTGCCATCGGAATGAAAAAAGTAAACAATTTTTGTCTGAAATTTTAAATATAATTTATATTTTAAGTGAAATAAATATCTAATTGTTTGTTAACTCAGGAGTGGATACTATCGGCCAAAGAAAGACAGATAAGACAATTGCGGATCGAAGAGAATCGTCGGTTTAACCAATTGTCACAATTGAGATCAGTGGCTATCAACTCAGACCAGTCTTCATGTCAATCATCACTGGATTCAAATACAATGACCACAACTAACGACTCATTTGAAACAAGTATTTACAACACAGACACCGACCAAACAGTGGACAAAAACATCATTCAAACACATAATACGGACAATACAAACAATACTAAATCACTGAACACTAATAGTGCGGTCATTGGGGACAACATTAGTCCCATATTATATAACAATAATGACTTTAATGATATGGAAATGAGTTTATTTAGTGAAATATTGTCGGCCACGGAACAGTTCCGGAGACCGGTGTCCAGCAATATATCGTTTACGTTTAGAACTTGCAGCGAGGTTGATTACTTCATGAAAAAGAGATTTAATAAATACATGAAATGGTTTATAGCGTTAACTAATAGTATCGGTGAATTCAGAAATATGTGCCCAACTGATCAATTGGCCTTGGTCAAATATGGCTGCATTGAAGTCAGATTTCTCATCACTATATATAATTATAATGATAATAATAAATGTTGGATATTTCCATTGGTATGTGAATTTGATCATTTAACTAAATTTGTTAATAATTAGTTTTTATTAAATATTAGGATAAAAATAATTCAGCAAAACTCGGGTTGAATTTATTGAAAGAATGTAAATATGGTTTTGAGACTGTTTTGAAAAAGTTTTTAAATGTAGCCACAAATATATTGAAGGGCGACAATTACATTATAAATATGGTATTTTATTAACTGAATTAGGTAATTAAAATGCAATACAATTAAACTATTTAATACATTTTATTAGCTGCTGGCAATCATCATTTTTAATCCCGAGCGACCAGACCTTATCCATAGGACAAGTGTTAAGTAGGTATTACTTGATTAAGAATAAAATTATCATCATCTAAAACCTTTTACTCTTAATTAATTAATTTTTATTAAAATATTTACAATTAACTTATGTTTAATTTACATTAAATAGATTTCAACAACAGTTATACATGTATTTATTGGAGAAATATTTGCGTAAAAAATATGGCTCTGAATGCGAGGCAAAGATAATGTTTTCAAACATAATGAATATGTTGGCAGACATTCACGCTTTGAAATGCATTCACAATAAAAGCTATTACGAGAACCCGTCGAACGCACCCTTACTTTTGAAGGAGATTCTCGATATACCTATCGATTGATTCAAACAATTATTTAAAACTGCATATAATTTTTATATAAATTTTAATTTTACATAATGTAAATATTAGTTATAAGCGAGGTATTTATAGCTTTATTAAATAAAAAGCTATTTAATTAAAATAATTATAGCTACGGTTAATATTTATACTAATTAAATATGATTTAATGAGTAAATAAACTAATTTTAAATTACTATTAATTATAAGTATATACAATTTATTTTATTTATTGAGGTGCATTACAAAAACTAAAAAACATAATAAATAAATATGATCAACATTATAATAATTAGTTAATGATTATTTAAAAATTAAAATCCATTAACATTAATATAAATCCAATCAATGATAAACAATTTTACCATGTCTTGTATCATGTTATTTTGCAACACATACAGATGCTGTACTAAATGCACCAACATTAGATCATACATGTAGCTTATTGATTAAAATAACACCACATGATCATTTCCACATAACTAATTCATACTCAAATAATTAAAATCCTCCAACTTACATTTAACTAACACTAATAAAGAGTTTACGATTCAGAGATTACTAATTAGAGATAATGATAATGATCGGAAGTAATTTATTAAAAATATGTAAAATAGCCATGTGCAAACTATTTCATTAAAACGAATACAGTTTTCACTTTTAATGACAAGTGTTATTAGAATACAAATATTACCAATTCTGGGAAAAAGTAACAGTTAGTACTACATGCACTAAACTTGACCTTGCTAATTCTATTCCGTTAACTAACCATGGTTACAATCATTTACCATCAATTATATTTGCACAATTAGCACATTAATTTATACCTGAACATATTTTTAGGCAAATATAATAAAAATAAATGTTTGTAAAAGCTAAATTTATGAATTAATATGAAGTTTTTAGTTTAATCTATTAAAATAATTAGACATTTATTTCTGAGGTATCAGGGGATTTTATATATTTATTTTAATAAATTAATTTTATATAAATTGTGATGTGTATTTAGATTTTATAATTACCAAATGTATTTTGTTTAATATTTTAATTATTTATCTATTTTTTTGTTTAGTTTTATTTTTCAAATTATTTGAAATTGGTTAAACAATTTGTAAGATAATGTCGTTCAAAATGATTCATTAAAAAAATAATTATTGATTTATTAATTATAGTAAATATTTTATGTTTAATTAAAAGTACATTTATATCAAGTACATTACAAATCACAATATACGCTGTTTATCATAAAGTTGCATAACTTGTTTTATAATAAATTTAAAACTATTAAGATGAAATGATTTTATAAATATTGAATAAAATAATGTTTTAATACTTTTTTGTAATAATTTTACATAAAACTTAAATATCCTGAAATAAAATTAAGTGTTTATTTGAATAAAAATTTTCAATATATTGATTTAATTTATAATTATTTAATTAAATATAACAATAAATATGGTAAATCCGCAAATGTATTGTAACATTGCACTAAAACTGGACTATAATTGCACTAAACTTGGGTCACAATTTAATTAATGTAGCCATGAGCCATTATGTTAGTGCAATTTTGGTACGTTTCCATAGACGTACACGGTTTATTATTTTAAAGATCATTATCATTTTACAATAATTTATACAAATTACAGTATTTATATTTCACGATTGATTATTGTTATCTAATTAGAGTTAACTGAATCTACTAGTTCATTATTAATTATAATTTTTAAATTTTAAATTTAATAATAGCATGGTTGGATTTATAAAAAAAAATAACATGTGTTAATATAGATTCCAATCTGATTTGACTTGATAGTGAATTATTACCAGTAAACTTATTTAGCATAGTTTATTATTGCAGCACTATTGCTATAAATAATAGTATACTTTTCGTATTATTATAAATTATAATTAATTAATTTTATTAAATGTTATATAATTTACAATAATTAACTAAATACTTGTGCATATTGTAAATAGTATTTATTTAGTATATTGCAATTAATATAACATTTGTAATTAATTTTAAAACTACAATAATAATAATTGTGAAATGTATTGATTAACATAATGCAAATTTAAAAATTATTAATAAAATAACGCATTTAATATACAAGTTTTTAGTACATTTCTGAATTATAATTCAATAATATCAGGGAAAGTACTCATTTTTTACAACTGTTTACCTGATGGTACTTAACACAAAACTTTTACTAAATTATAATATAAGAATATGCTGAATAATATAAATAGCGAAATATTTACAAAAGTCCATTAAATTTTGTGCGATAAAAATAATTAGTGCAATTAGTATTGTTATTTAAACTTAATGTACTTATTTTATATTTTATAAAAACAACTATACAGATCAGCTACTCCAACACGGCAACGTGACCTTGGTCACATACACCAAACGCAGCTTGATGGGGAATAAAAATCAATTTTTACCAGAACGGATTTTAGTGCAGGTGGGACTTTACTGCTAGCTGCTTTTTGTTAATTACAACAATTATTTGTGCTAAAATTTAATTTATTTAGTTCATTAAAAATAGACTTATAGAATAGTAAAATTTATTTAAATACAAAACAACAATGTTTGTAATAAAATAAATTATTATGGATATCAATACAGCTAATGTTAATGGTATGCACAATACACTTACTGTACTGTGCTATATAAGTTTTATGCAAGTATTGAATAAGTATAAAATACAAGTGCTTTGGCAAGTGCATTTAACTACAAGTACATTTAGTTTAGTTTAGTGCACAACTGACACTCTGTACACTATACAGTACATACATTTAAGTCAATGTTTTACATTTAATAGTATGTGTTTGATCGTGAAGGTTTTTATTGCAAACAACTAGTTTCATTAGTACATTTGGGTTGTATGTTAGATTATAATCTGTACACTATACAGTACATACATTTAAGTCAATGTTTTACATTTAATAGTATGTGTTTGATCGTGAAGGTTTTTATTGCAAACAACTAGTTTCATTAGTACATTTGGGTTGTATGTTAGATTATATTTTCGCTGCTATACGCGAATGTTTAATAAATAATTATTTAATATTCTATGGTACTTTTTTTGCTAAATTTGTTTAACATTATTACTCAACACAGTTATACTAATTGTAATAGTATTAAAGTTTTGTGAATTTTAAAATTCCGTAAATAAATATTTACTTAATTGTTACTTAATTACTTAAATATACATATATTGTATGATTTATGCAATAATTATAGACATTATATAATAAAGTGGCAAAAACTGCTAAAAGTACTCAAAATAATTGATTTATTAAGTAATACATTGTGTATCCATTGGATATAATCGCTACTCTATATCACTATTTATCGGACTATTTATGTGTTCACCACTAATAATATAGAGGAAGACTAAGAAGTGCTGCAGTTTTTTATTTGGTGTTTTGCTTTAAACTACAATACAATACAACTTTTTTGTGAGATAATTATTTTTGTGAATATTTTTTATTGCAATGAATGACAATATATCTAATAAGTTGGTGAAAATTTGCGCCATTTGTGGCGAGAATGCCATTGGTAAGTTAGCCTAACAAACTAACTTGTTAATTAATAGATAATTTGACACCCTAATGTTGTAAAAAGTTTTATATTTACCATTATGTTAATAATTATCTAATATTCAATAGGCTATAACTTCTGCGCCCTTTCGTGTCAGTCCTGTAAAGCCTTTTTTCGGAGAAACGCATTCAAAGTGACGGTAAGTCTAAATAAAATTTAAGATTTTACAAATTGTAAATATTTTAACAAAATTTAATTAACATTTTCTTTAACACAAACTCTTGCGACCATAAAAATGGCCAGAAATTCAAGTGTAGGTTCGGTGACGACTGCGATATCAACGCCACTACTCGTAAGTTTTGCAAGAAGTGTCGGCTCCGGAAGTGTTTCGTTGTGG